CTGGCTGAGGAATTCTGGGAGTTGAAGTCCACAAGTCATCAAACACTCATAGTTCCCTCACGCTGGCTGAGGAATTCTGGGAGTTGAAGTCCACAAGTCATCAAAGACTCATAGTTCCCTCACGCTGGCTGAGGAATTCTGGGAGTTGAAGTCCACAAGTCATAAAAAGGGTCCTAGTTCCCTCACGCTGGCTCAGGAATTCTGGGAGTTGAAGTCCACGAGTCATGAGGGGGCCATAGTTCCCTCACGCTGGCTGAGGAATTCTGGGAATTGAAGTCCACCAATCATAAAAGGGTCATAGTTCCCTCACGCTGGCTGAGGGATTCTGGGAGTTGAAGTCCACAAGTCATCAAAGGGCCAAGTTTGAAGACCCCTGCTCCAGGTCACGGTTGATTCCAATGCTGCTTCCTCCCCCCCTCAAAAAAGCAACTGGACATTCCTGGTGGTTTTTTCCCCTTGAAAAAGTGTTGCTTCTCATCCAAAAACTTTCCGAAGAGCTGGAGAAAACAAAACAAAACCAGGAAGTCCATGTCCTTTTGGAAAAGCCCCCTCGGGGTCTCCCACCCACCCAATTTGTACCTTTGGCTCTGGAGGATAAAGAGGCCATTTCTGAATCTCCCTCAAAAGTCACCAGTTTGCAAGAAATCCGAATTTCTGGCCTAGCACCTTTTCCGATGCGAGACTAAAGGAAGCCTTGGGTTCTCCTGGGAGGGAAGAGGGGGGCTGCCCCCTCCCCAGAACAGCTTTGGAAACTTTAGGGAGGGGGGGAAACTAGACCCCCAGAATATATATTCATTTCCTCCACATTTTATCTCCGGAATTCTACCCAAACGGGCCAAGGAACGAGTGCAAAACTCCGAATGAGCAAATCGTGTGCTTTTTTTTTTTCACCTCGAGAAAGTGGGTTTGTACTAAACGCAGGCAGTCCTCAGGTTACGACCGCGGTTGAGCCCAACGTTTTTGTTGCTAAGCAAGACAGTGGTTAAGGGAGTTTTACTCCGTTTTGCGACCAATAGAAGAAAATATTTTTGCTCAGGGTTGAACTGTGGGGGTCCCTGGTGCCCTCTGAGCTAGGTGGTCTTCCTGCAGACGTTTTGTGACCCAACTAGGGAACAACATCAGTGCTGGAAGGGATGGGATGCTGTGGAGAGGAGGAGGAGGACTATGAGGTCCTTGATGCTCTCTGAGCTGGGTGGTTTTCGTACAGACGTTTCATGACCCAATTAGGTAACATCATCAGGGCTAGAAAGGAAGGGAGAGTTGCGGAGACGAGGAGGAGGAGGAAGAACACTGTGGGGTCCTTGGTGCCCTCTGAGCTTGGTGGTTTTCTTCAAGACGTTTCATGACCCAACTAGGTAACATCATCAGTACTAGAAGGGAGGAGGAGGACAAGGACTGTGGGGTCCTTGGTGTTCTCAGAGCTGGATTGTTTTCTTGCAGACGTTTCATGACCCAACTAGGTAACATCATCAGTGCTAGAAGGGAGGAGGAGGAGGAGAAGGAGGACTGTGGGGGTCCTTGGTGCTCTCTGAGCTGGGTGGTTTTCTTGCAGACGTTTCATGACCCAACTAGGTAACACCATCAGTGCTAGGAGGAGGAGGAGGAGGAGGACTGTGGGGTCCTTGGTGCCCTCTGAGCTTGGCGGTTTTCTTGCAGACATTTCATGACCCAAATAGGGAACATCATCAGGGCTAGAAGGGGGGAGGAGGAGGAGGAGGAGGAGGAGGATTGTGGGGTCCTTGGTGCTCTCTGAGCTGGGTGGTTTTCCTGCAGACGTCTCATCACCCAACTAGGGAACACCATCAGTGCTAGAAGGGAGTGTCCAGATGAGCGAGTGAAGATCCTCTAAGCAAAGTCCTTCTTCTTCAGAAGTGGCTGTTCCTTTCAACGGGCCCCTGTTGCCCCGTACTTCATTGTCAAGTGGAGTAAGGACCTCGTAGCCACCGGCACTTGCCCCTATCCTTAACCAGGAATTGTGACCTGCATTGTTTTGTAGCGGTGCACAACTACAACGCCGGAGACCACACAACCCAACCCCGTTTTAAACGACTCAGTCAGCAGCAGACAACCTTGAGGTGGCCAAGAACTGCTCTTAAAACATGGGTAGAGAAATAAGAGCTGAAGGCTACACCCAACGGATTTCAATTCATCTTGGGTGGGTTTTGCTTGAACTCTGTTGTAGAGTTTGTGTGGTTTTCCCACCACAATAGTCCGGAAACCACACCCCCAACTTTCAGTAGTCTAAGCCAGGTGAATTTGATCACTGCATGGAGAGGAGAACCCAACAGGTGCCTTTAGACCCATAGATCTCAACCTTGGACCACTTGAAGAGGGCTGGACGTCAACTCCCAGAATTCCCCAGCCAGCCCTGCTGGCTGGGGAATTCTGGGAGGTGACGTCCAGCCGTCTTCAAGTGGCCCAAGGTTGAGAAACCCCGCTTTGGAATCTCAGACAAGGATCTAAACCAGGTTTAGGATCTTAGCTGACTTACGAACCTTCTCCAGAACATCCGTTCTTTGCCATCGGGAATGGCTTTTCTCCACAACCCCGGACAATTCTTTCTCCCCCATCCAAGCTGCTTTTGGACATGGTGGGTGTAACGTGTAGCCCAGCCGCCCGCCCGGTTTGTATTCTTGCAGTTGTTAACAGATGTGGAGTCTTTTGTCCCTTTCTCCATTCAACCGTTGGCCTGGAGAACGCTTCTCGTTTCACCAACCGGCTCACTTTCCACGCCGTAGTAGGTCTCATCCTTGGCCTCTTCGGAGACCACCCTTCACTCCACAAGGGTTACGGGCATCACCAAGACCCTGCAAGCATCTTGACGTTCAACCGATGGGTGGTGGATTTGTGAAGCCCGGGCCACAAATCCAGCACGACGCGCTACTCTTCGTTTGCCTTACGTTTTTTTCTACGTTGCCTTCCGAATGACGCTTTGGGCGCCTCGCGTTGTGTCCCCCCCTCCAAGAGCAACTTACCAAAATGAATGTTTTTAACCCCCGAGGGGGCTCCCAGGTGGATATTACAACCATCTTTATTTTGCTTCTGGCCTCCCTGGAAAGGAGCCAGGGAGAAACGGGAGTGGGTGACCTTGAAAAATGTACAACCATCGTCCCCAGCGGACGGAGACTTCCGGAGAGTTCGTTCTTTTACTCGGATCTGGGAGGGGGCCCGTTGGACTCGGGAGACCCCCTCCCCAAACCCAAGCAGGGCTAAGAGACCCGGTCTTCCTCGGCTGGCGGCGAGGATGTGGATGGATTGGGAGCCTGTCTTTCCGTGGATGGTGAGCCCAGAAGGATGCTTGTGCTCTCTGTTAAGATGGTAGTCCTCAAGTTATGATGAGAATTGAGCCCAAACCTTTATGTTGCTAAGCGAAATGTTTGTGAAGTGAATTTTGCCCCCTTTTACCACTTTTCGGAATGGAATGGAATAGAAATAATGGAATAGAATAGAATAGAATATAGGATGGGATGAATAGAATAGAATAGAATAGAATAGAATAGAATAGAATAGAATAGAATAGAATAGAATAGAATAGAATAGAATTATGGAATGGAATGGAAATAATGGAATAAAATGGAATAGAAATAATGGAATGGAATAAAATAGAATAGAATAGAATAGAATTATGGAATGGAATAGAATTATAGAATAGAATAGAATAGAATAGAATAGAATAGAATAGAATAGAATAGAATAGAATTATGGAATGGAATACAATTATGGAATAGAATAGAATTATAGAATGGAATGGAATAGAAATAATGGAATGGAATAGAATAGAACAGAAATAATGGAATGGAAATAATGGAATGGAATGGAATAGAAAGA